GAAGAGCCAAAAAAAGATGACTTGGATTTTGGCATGGGAACTCTGAGATATTTTGGAGGTGGACAGATATCTGTGTCAAACAGGTGCCTGTAACAGGGGTCACAGTAAGGGTGAGGTACAGAGGTTAGCCAGCTACTTTTGGAACAACTGCTACAGTGATGAAAACAGAATCTGTAGGAATGGACAAGGCTGCTCAGAGAGAAACTTCACAAAGGAAATGACTAGAAGCAGAATCAGGTGGAAGTCCGTGGTGTGGTCAGAGCCTGGAAGAAGCTATAGTGTGAGTGGGTCCTGTAGAAATAGAGCGAACAGGTATAGGCCACTTTTCCCTAGGAAACATGGGCATCGGAAGCAGGAGGGTTGAGGAAAGAACCTTGTTTTTCTCTGACAAAAGTCAAGTGTGGGGTGATACTGACAACTCCTCCCCCCACCAGCTCCCCATGTGTTTGTCACTACCCTGTCCTGAGCCAACAACAGTACCTAGGTAGTCTCTCTGGGGCTTCTCCCACCAGTGAAAAGGGTGCTGCCCCCACAACATGACTGTCCTGGAAACTAGAGCATCATATTCAGTCTTCTGCCCCGGGGTATGGTCCTAGCCCTGCACTTTTGCCCAGACCCTAGTCAGCATCCTGCATCCCTTGTATGGATTCCTGGGCTATAAAGACTGCTATCTCCTAGCGCAACCATCAGCACAGCTTATCACTCAGATCACCTTAGTTTGCTATGTTCTCTTGCTCTGGATCATCCGGACCCCTGGTTTTTCCCTATAGTCGGCTAATCCTTCAGCTTCAGCTGGACCCCAGCTCATCTCCTTGCAGGTGTTGGCTCTTCCATTCACTACAGGGCGGAAGGGATTGGAGCAAGCTGTGCAGCTGAGTCTGTGCTTTCACCATAGTGGGGGTGGAAGGGAGGCAGGAATCAGCTGGTGGTGGGGAGGGTGCTTAAAGATGCAGCCTAGACAGGAAAAATTGGTGGCAGTGGTCTCTAAGAAGCCAGCAAGAATGAGCTCTGGTATGTGGACTTGCCTCATTACAGAAAGGAAAACTCTACAGATCAAATAAGAAAGAGCTACCAATTAAAAAGATCCTTCAAATACGTCAAGCTCTTCACTGCTTATATTGCTGTCTTATACCTAATACACCAATACTAAATGGAGGCCTCTATGTCATCCCCACTTTCCAGATTAGAAAGCAGAACATGGAGCAATTAGACAGCAGGCCAAGGCCACACAGGTGGCAAGTGAAGGCGCTGGGGCTACACTGCTGGCCTGGCTCCAAGCTCAGGCCCTCCATGTGTCCCCTGGGAAGTGTGTGTTAGTGAAGGCACAGCAGGCTGAGCGCAGGGAGGAGTTGTGGGCTAATGTCGAGTGCCTCAAGGTCGTAAAGGAAGGAAGTGAGGTCATCTCCAGAGACTGGGCTTGGGGAGGTGGGTCATCTTCTTAGGACTTAACAGGGTAGAAAAGGGTCGGAACAGCCACTGTGGGATAGTCAGGGGAGTCAACAACATGACTAAAAATAATGCTGGCCGGCAGCAGGGGCCCAGCTGGTGCTGCCTAATGTGAATTTTGTAGTGGAACTGATGAAGGGGGTTTTATGAATTTCTCCAGCCACCTTCCACCGCCCACGCTCATAGGACCACAGATGAGATGCAGTGCATCTTGCTCACTCCTTAGGACTCCACACTTGATTATAAACCCGGAAGAGCAACATCAGTGCTGAGGCACTGAGCCATCTGTAGAGCAGGGGATAATGGGATCCCGTGGGGCCAAGGAATGGGCCAGGTGGGAATGATGCAGGCTTGAGATGGGAGAACAGAGAGTTCACTGCTGAAAGGGCCTAACTGTGAGGGGGCCTGTAAATCAGAATGGGGCCTGGGAGAATTGGAAGGGGCTGGCAGGCTGGAGTGAAAAGAGGCCATTTGCAAAAATATATGCATTGGTGTTCCCACATTATAGCCGTCCAGGAAACAGCTACTTCCCTACTCACCTGGGGTGAGTAATAATGGTGTCAGGCAAGAATAAGGGGATGCTGATTTCATTCTGTTTACTACCAAGGAAAACTGGGGACTGCACAGGCTGGCAAGACATTGTCCCCAGTAAAGGCCTGTGTTTGCTAACGAGGTTGTATTACAACCACACTCTGCTTTCCAAAACAGCACCCTCAGGAGAAAAGAAATAAAGTCATTTTCCTTTGGAGGCAGAACATTTAACATTGCTTAACAATAACACTTAACATCTTTTAGCCTTTAGCCTTAGGCAAACTCCTAACTACTGATTGCTAGGAATTGTCTTTTTCCTATGTTGGCCAAGGCTCTGTCTTTACTTTAGGTGGTGTCATTTAGCTTGGCAGCAGGCTGCTTGGGCCTGTTTTAAAGATGACAGAGTTCCATGAAAGCTTAGTAGGGAGCCCCTGGACTGGGCTCCTCATTTACTCCTGGCACCGTCAATGCCTCCAAATTTGGCATGTAAACCAGTTATTGAGATTATCTTAAAAACTCCTGTGACATGACCATAAACAACTTAGGGAGCAAATCAGTCAGTAGCATATTAAGTTCCCTACAAGGAGGGCCACCGACTTCCTATGGATAGAATTATTCCTATTTTTAATTAAAAATTTAACTCCATAAATATTTTAAGGCTCTCTGCCTCTGAACAAGAGGGATCCTGTGCCCACAGAGCTATGCTGCCTCACTCCTGGCAAAGGGAGAGGGTCAGTGAGCAGGTGTGATTCAATTACGGGGACAGTAAAATCTCCAGAGGGAAAAGATGGGAAAAGCAGGGTCAGTGTCCCCGGCAGTCAGAGATGAATCTGCATACCTTCTTAGAGGCCAGCAGTGTGGACCCTCACCTTTGCACTCTGCACCTCACTGGGCAAATATGAATCCCATGGACCAGGCACCGTGCCTGTGAGAGAGCTTTGCATTTCCTCTTTAAATGTCAGATGGAAACTTGGGTTTGGGCTTCCCCATTGAGAACCTGGTGCCAGGCGCATTTGTCTGAGTCCTGTTTATTCCCCATCATAGTCACTTCTGGTTGCCAGGTAGCCACAGAGGTCTGTTTGCACGTGCAGCTAATCGCTCTGACCATTGTTTATGTGTGAATGGACTTTTGGCCAAAATTATTTTCAGTCTAAGGTGCTTCCCTCAGCCACATTTATATTCTCCAGCCGGCAGAGCTTTGTCAATACCTACATTGTGATGACAGCTCAGACACATAAACAGCATCAATGTACTGCCTTTGTCAGAAAAACCTCTTCCCCAGTGTTTACTCCTAAAGCAGACATGTTTAGAGGCTGCCATGATTGGGCATTTCAGGCCTAATTAGTGAAAATAAACAGGAGTTGGAAATTCAGAGAACTTATTTTAATAGTCACTACTTTCAGCATTTCACACATTATCAAAAAGGCTGCTTGCCTCTTTACTCAACAGTGGAGTCCTGAGGCTAGACTGGGACTGTGTCTCCAGCCTCCATGTTCTCAGGGCCTGAGACATGGATCTAGATAATCACTAGATAAATGCGGAATGAATACATGAGTGGAAATTTATAGAATTTTAAATGTTTTTTCTGTGCTTTTAACTTGTACAAAAAAATCCATTTCTGCATTCAGAGTAGAAGTTGGCCAGGAAGACATCAAACTGTGTCCAGTTTTCCTCTTTTCCCCTCTCTTAAGATTCTACTACTTTCCATCTGCCTTAACCACAATTTCCATTCACTTCCACAGTGAAAGTTGGAAATCTTATGTTTAATATGAATTTTGGAAACTACTTCCATTTTTTAAATGAAAACAAAATACTAGGCCAGGGAAAAAGTAGGGACATGAAAGAGATCATGGCTGAAAAAAAATTCAAACTAACTATGAGATAAAGGAGATAAAGAGAAAAATAAAATACAGTTGTGTAGAAGCTTTTAAAATTCCATATTTTGTATATCCTGTTTAATCAGTGTTAAAAACTGTCTGCTAAATTTGAGATTTTACTACTTTTGAAAATCAACATACTATTTATAAGAGCAGACCTAGGCTGTGTCTGTTGTAATATTCAGATTTTTTTTTTCAATTTATCTTCAGAAGTATAGCCAACATTCAAATCGAAACACTAACTCCATCTCTGAGTTAGCACTTCAGCAGCTCAGCTGTGATGGTGAGGAAGTTCTACTTGGAGGTCCACTCCCACCCCCCCCCCCACTTTCTAACTTTCTAGTGTGAAACATTTAGTTTTATTGCTACCATTCACCTTTCTTTGTTTCTTTTTCAAACACTCTCATTCTCATACTCTAAATGTATCCAGCTCCCATGGAAGCTGGACCTAAGTCATCTTGGAAAGGTTTCTTCTTTGTCATGTGCTCCTGATAGAAGACAAACATTACTCTTCATCTCACTGACAAGAGCCCCAACTTTTGAGAACTGTATCTCATTTTCAGGGGTGTCGCATTACAGCATGTAGATCACCTTAGGTCACAAAATCACCAAGAGAACTTTTCCCACACAGTTTTTTCTTTCCCCTTCTTGTCTGAGCATCTTAGTAATATTTGCTTATTGCCTCGAGGACACAGTCAGATTCTAAATCAAGCAAAGAACACCTTCCCAGGTTCACAATTCTTTCCTGCTTTTTAACACCTGACTGAAGCTCCAAGGTTAAGGCTGGCCTGCCCTTTCTTGTGGGTAACTCCTAGGACAGAAGATTTACAATTTTATTGTCTCTAAGCTTGGTGTAGGATGTTCAATACCACTTTCATAGCAAAGGCTTAGGATTTCCATTCAGTATCCAATATTCTTGCTGACATGTTCAATTGCAATGATATACTATTTGCTCCCTTAAAAAAAATAACCCACAAGTGTTTCAATTGTTAGCCCAATTGTGAAGAAAGCACTAAGGCTGCAGCAGATGGCAGTCAGGCAAAATTATAACATAGTCCCTATTTCAAAGCCAGATTTCTATTTTGTGTAGACTTCTCTAAAGACTTCATTTGTGGGTGAGTTGGTAATGGGAGACCCTTCCATGATCTACCTGGGTAAAGATGCATACTGTCTCTCCATCCCTTCAAAGCGGAGGTTGTGAGCATTCCCATCTGGACCCTTTCCAGACACCTGTGGAGAGAGAAATAATTAGAGATGAAGATCCATTATACATCCTGGTTACTAACAATGCATCTCAAAATTTATAATCAGTGCACAAATGCTGCCTCTGCCTGCCAAAAATCAACCTTGGAAAAGCAAGCAAGAACTCAGCATTGCTATAGGCATTGATGATCAAGCCACAATATGGCACGTAACAACAAAGTCACTTCTGTTAAAAAGGGTCATTGTCAAACTGACTCTTTCCCATCTTCATGCCAAGGATACTCTGTAGGCTATAAGACCTTCTTCTTCTTTTTAAAAATAGTATTAGTTTTAGGACAGTTTGAGATTTATAGAAAAATCGAGCAGATAATAGAGTTTCCACATATCTCATCCCAGTTTCCCTATTACTGCATCTCATACTCAGTTTCCCTATTACTACCTTCTTACATTATTAGTATGGTATGCATCTTACAAGTAATAAGTCAACATTAATACATTACTGTTAACTAAAGTCCATAGTTTATTCAAAGTCTTAACGTATTTTCTGTCTCAAGGATCATGCAGCACACCATACTACATTACTCAGTCCACCGTCAGAGGAGCCTTTTGGCTGTGACAAGGACCCGTATCTTCAAAGGCACCTTCTCCACGAAGTTTTCTTTACTAATAGTGATTGCTAGTTGCACAATCACTGTCCACTGCACAGTGTGTATAAAACCCTTCCTGACCACCCTCAACTTCATCTGATTCCCTCCTTTACGAACAACCACGTAGAAGTGTTTTTTCTCATCTAGTTTTTGTCCCTTCCTATGAACTTCCTGTGTTTACCTCTCTTGGAGCATATTCATCACCCTCAGAGATCCTGTGGGGTAGTGACTGGATCCAGTATGTTCTCAATAGTGCTTGCTTTCCCGAATGCAAAGTCTGTATATCTCATCCTTCTGTAATTATCATAACTAAAGCAGGATGAGGCAGGTTCTTTAAGGCACTTGTTGAGTGACTGATTTCTTACATGTGGTACCGTGGAGCATTCCTGTGCTTGCTCTTTTTGATGGGGTTTCCCACATACAAGGGGCATGGGAAGAGGTAATTAGAAAACCTCATCTATTGTATTTAGGCGGGGAGGAGAGTTTGCTAGTAAACACAGAAAGTAACAGTACTCAAGTCAGTAGTGGAAATTTTTCTAGATAGTACAGAAATTATTTTCTTCCTACCAAGAATCCTACATGTCTCTAAAACCACCATCCCAGCTTGTGCAAGGTATGTGTGTGGGGGTGGGTGAGGTGTTGTGGGGAGAGATGCTATGAAGAAAATATGTGCAGGCTGTTAAAATAAGAAAGATAATGCTTCACATCTAATTACTGCAGGAGACCCTTTAGTGTGTGTCCTGGAAAACCTCTTTCTATTTCAGCAATACGAGGAGCAGGAGCAGCTGGAGTTATTTGAGAGGGCAAGAGTCCAGCGAATAACAGTGAAGACTGTACAAACTTAGAATAAACTACAGATAGAGAGATCGAATCCTTTGTATTGGGATAAAAGCCTTGACTTAAACCACTGACCTTTCTACCAAAAACCAGAGACAAGGATGGTGACAGCCAGGAGGTGTGTAAGTAGCAAAGAAAAAGAAGAGAAGGGCAGAGGGATTATTTTCAACCACTCTTATCTAAGGTTTGTTCAGTTTTATTTTTTGGGGGGGGGCAGGGAGGCAGATAGGGACTCACTGTGTAGCTCAGGCTGGACTCAAACTCAAAATCACTATGTAGTGTGTAGGCTCTCAACCTCACAATCCTCCTGCCTCAGCCTCCTGAGGGTTGGGATTACAGCTGTGATTCACCATGCCTGGTACTGTTTTGTTTCGTTTTTAAGTGATTTATTGTGAAGAAGGAATTCATGTGAATATAGTACTGTGTTGAAGATTATAAGAAAAACACTATGTATGCCTATCTCCAGTGTGGTTCAAGACATTTACAGCTAATCTTTTCTCTTATAGCCATAAAGCTGTGTACTTTCAGACTGGTTGTGCAGAGCCTGCCTGGCCTCACAATGATGGCAGTCAATATTCTGCTGCCTTCCAGGAGACAGCAGCCCTCACCTGTAGTTGCTTTGGTGAGTTAAGTAATCAACTAGGTTCAGTGAGATGAAACATGATCCTTATCCTTATGGAACTTTTTGTCCTGTTGGGAAAATGAACACTAGAAAGAAAATAAAGAATGACCTAGGACAGTCTGATTGAGTATCATTCAAAATGCTACCAGCAGTAGCACAGATGGCGCCTGTTAGGAACAACTTCAGAACTTGGTCCAGCTTTCAGAAGATGGGCAGGCAGCATGCTTGCCCATCAAAAATTATTCTGTCCCTCCCCAACTGTGCACATATCTTTGTGTGTCTCTGATAACATGGCAACACCACTAATGCATTGAGTTAGTGATTAGTGAGCACCTACTGTACCCTAATTGCAAGCAATGAAGAAATCCAGCTCCTGTTCTCCAGGAGATGGGCCTGAGAACAATTAGAGCTATCTGAGGAGGGGGCAGCACCAGGGAGAGTTGAAGACAGCTTCGTAAGAGTGCTTATGCCTCAGCTGAATGTGAAAATGAATGAAGGGAGTTTTTCTGGGGGAAGAAGGATGAAGGAGGAGTAGAAGGCATTCTAAGAAGAAAGAACAAAAAAGAAACCACATGGAGGCACAGAACAAGCACTGTTTTCTGGGGATGCTGAGATTTTGATAAGGCACACACAGAGAATGTAGCAGCCATCCTATAAGTGCTACTACAATGCCTGTAGCTGATATTTCTGCACTGCAATGGTTTTAATAGACTATTTTTTTAAAGAGCAAATTTAGGTTCACAGCAAAATAGGAAAGAGGCAGAGAAGTTTCCCATAAACCTCTGCTCCTACCTATGTGTGGTTCCCCCATTATCAATATCCCCAACCAGAGTACTACAATTGTTAGAACTGATGAACCTACATTGATAGATTATAATCACTCAAAGTCCATTGTTAATGTCAGGGTTATCTGGTGTACATTCTGTGGGTTTGGACAAATATTTAATGAACTGTATCCATGATTATAACGTCATACAGAATAGTTTCATTGCCCTAAAAATCCTCTGTGCTCTGTCTACTTATCTGTCTCTCCATTAAGTCCTGGAAACCAGTGATCCTTTTATTGTCCTCATAGTTTTAACTTCCAGAATGTCAGTCTCATATAGTTGGAATCATATATTATCTAGCCTTTTCAGATCGGCTTATTTCACTTGGCAATATACATTTAAGTTTCCTCCATATCTTTTTAGAGCTTGGTAGCACATTTCTCATTAGCACTGAATAATATTCCATTTTCTGGGTGTACCTCTGTTTATTTATCCACTCATCTACTGAAAGATATCTTGGTTGCTTCCAAGTTTCGGAAATTATGAATAAAGCTCCGATAAACATTTGTGTGCAAGTTTTTGTGTGACCACACAAAAGTATGGTCAACATCTAAGTTTTCAACATCTTTGGATAAATACCAACAAGTGTAATTGTTGGATCACATGGTAAGACTATGTTTAAAAGAAACTGCCAAACTGTCTTCCAAAGTGGCTGTACTATTCTGCATTTTCTCCAACAATGAGTGAAAGTTCCTGTTGCTTTATATCCTCAAAAGCATTTGGTGGTGTCGGTGCTCTGAGTTTTGACTATTCTAATAGTGTTCAGTGGGATCTTATCTTAGTTTGCATATCCCTGATGACATACAAAGTGAAACACTTTTTCATATGCTCGTTTGCCACCTGTACACCTTGGTGAGTTGTCTGGTAACATCTTTGACCCATCTTTAAATGAAATTGCTCATGCGCTTTAGGAATTTTTTATACATTTGGGATAGCATTTATTATCAGACGTGTCTTTTGCAAACATTTTCTCCCAGTCTGTGGCTTGTCTTTTCATTCTCTTGACGTGTCCTTCACAGAGCAGAAACTTTTAATTTTAACAAAGTCCATCTTATCAATTTGTTCTTTTATGCATTTTTCCTTCGGTATTACTTCTAGAATGTCATCACCAAATCTTAGGTCATCCAGATATTCTCCTGGGTTATCTTCTTGGAATTTTATAGTTTTTAAGATGATTCATATCACAGTGCAGAGGTTTGGTGGCAGTCTGGGTGACAAGAAATGATAAGGGTCTAAACTAGAGGATTTTCCAAAGGATGAAAACAAGAGAGTGATGGAAAAATATTAAGGAGGCAGAATCAACAGAACTGACTGTAGATTAAAGGGGAGGATGTATCTAGGGTAATGCCCAAGTTTCTGAGCTTAGCAACCTGTTGAGTTTGTTAACATTCACCCAGAAAGGAATGAAAGAAGAACATAGTTAGGAATAGAGGAGAAGGAGATATTTGGACATACTGAGCTTCAGTTGGAACATTTGGTAGAAATGTCTAACATGCAGTTGAGCATAAAGGTTTGTGCCTTAGAAGAGATGTCTGATCTAGAGATGTAGAATTGGGAAACATTCAGCATATAGATTGCACCTGAAACCTTGGGGGAAAATGACCATGCAGAGTCTATAGAGACAACGTAGAAGAAAAGACATGGAATGAGAAAAGAGAAGAATATCAATAATATTCTTAGGAAAACTATCACAATGGGACATACAAAGGAAGTTGAAATAACAGAAATCAAGAGAAACAAATTCTGTGAAGGAGGGAGTGACAAACAGTGTGAAAAGTAGTCAAGAGCTGCAGTGAGATGAGGGCTGCAATGCACACTGTGTGTTGGTACACTTTTCCCGGTCCTCCCTTCTTGCAGAGTGTCACCCTGAGCTAAGAGCCTGGAAAAATAGAACTACCTTTCCCAGAACTCCCCAGCAGCCAAGGTACTGGCTACTTCTTATTCCAGTTCTTCCACTATTTATTCTGGCAAGAACGTCTACAGGTATGCTTGGTTTTTCTGAGGTGGCTTTAGCAGATGTATCATCACTAGTTTCTAGGTGGTTTTGGAGTTGGTGGCATTAAAGGGAGTACCTTCCTAATCATGGTGACTTCT